ATGGAAAGCTGTTTTGGCGCAGTCCGATGGTTCGACTGTAATCTGATAGTAACCTCCCCATTAATCTATTTAAAAAAAAACCCGTGATGTTCGCAGTTGGTCAATCAGTTCGTCGGCGCAGGGAATGGGGTACCGCGACTTGACTGTTACCCTGTTGAGCGCTTGGTAATCGATGCACATGCGAAACCCTCCATCTTTTTTTGGAGTGAACATTATCGCTGCGGCGAACGGTGACGAGCTCGGTCGGATGAATTTCTTCTCTAACAAGTGATCTAACTGCTTCCTCTGTTCGTCGAGCTCGGGTTGTGTCAGTCTGAACTGGCGCTGTACAGTTCGCTGTGCCCCCGGTTCTAATTCTATGCGGTGGTTATTTGCTCGATGAGGTGGCAATCCTTCCAGTAAGTCGTCAGGAAAAATCCTGGGGTATCGTATCAACAGTTCCTGTAGTTCGGGCGGTACCGCTGCCAACAATTTCTTGAAATCACTCGGCTGCTCTGCTCCCTCTACCACTGCAATGTCTACTGCGTACACGTCAGCTCCAGCAGCAACAGCCCGTTTCATGGTGACGGCATTGACGTGTACCGTTGAAGACTCGGGCGACTGCCAGCGAGGTAGCTCAACCCTGTTACCATTACTTCGCAAAGTGCAGCTACTCGTCGTCCAGTCAATTCGTGAATTATACCGTCGCGGCCAATCACGTCCCAGTAAAATGTCGTGCCCATCTAGTGTCGTCGCGAGCACTTCCTGTGTAAATCCGAAATTTCCCCCGCAACGAACTTTGACTCTCTCCACCCTTTCCCGTATGGCCAGTGGCGTGCCGTCAACTAAGCGTGTGTCTATCTTATGTAAGCAACGACTGAGTGTGAGTTGCAGTTTTCGTGCGGTTGCGGTATTAACTAAACTGTGACTTGCTCCTCCGTCGATAAAAATCTTTACTGCTGCTCCCTGTATTTTCCCGTGGATCAGTACTCGGCAATCTGTCGCTGTACCCTCCTTATTCGTCCGAGCCCGATCGATAGCATGAATCGGTACAGTGACTCGGTGAGGGTCGGTGGGGTTGGGTGAGCAGGCAGACTCGTCAGTACTTGGCCCGATTCCTACTGATTACTAGCGTTTCCCTGCCTCGGAGACTCCCTCCCCTGCTCTAATCCGCGGCGCCTCAGCTCCTCTTGGCATTCACTCTTACGATGGCCCGGCCTATTGCAAGCAAAGCACCGCCCCTTAAACAGCAGCTGCATTCGTCGCAACGGCATGTATGGTGGCGTGTTCGATCGGTCCCCGAGGGCGATGTCCATAGTAGGAACCCGGTCTCGGACGGCGCAAAATGTCGATTTTCTCGGCGAGCGCGAGAATCTCGTTGAAATTCGAGAACCCGCATAGCATGATCTCATGCGAGATGTCTGGCTTCAGTGTGAAAGGAGTAATTAGAAGTAGGAGCCATAGCTAGGAAAGTCCTAGCTAGGCAAGAAACAGTTTAGGCAAAAGAGGGGGAACACTAGCAGCAATGAGGATACAAATAGCAAACCCTAGAAGGGTTGTACTCGCTATAGAGCACCCCACTACAGGCTAGAGAACAATAACATTCTCACACACCCCCATAGCCAAAGTGGGGTGTAATCAGCAGAGCAAGCAAAGCAGAATAAGCTCAGGGTGGATCATAATGTCACCACACATTCTGAGCACAAGTTCAAGAAGAAATAGTTTAAAGTTCACAAGTATGAGCAAAGCTAGAGGCTATCGTATAGGGCAAGTGAGGAGGAGGAGGCGAGACTGTAAGAGGAGAGGAGATAGGAAGCGACGACTGAAGCTGCAGACACACGGGCAACAGGAGGCACACTGGCACAACGGCTACCGAAACAGCGCTCCGGACTACTGGAGTAACTGGCCCCGCGGCTAAAAGTAGCGGCAGACGAGCAACGGACTCACGGGCGACTGGCACAGGTGGCTACGACTGGGCTACCGGAGCAACTCCCTGGACTACAGGTGCTGCTGGCGACACGACGGCAACCTCCGATCAACCTCCCCAAACAGTCCCACCCCCCTTGACACACACCCGCTCCTTCACCCCTAGCTCCACTCCCCCTTCACCCCCCCTTAGTACCACTCCGACGGCTCCAACAGGTCCACCCCCCCCCTCAGCGGTAGCTGCAGCACTGGGAGACGGAGGAGGAGGAGCAGAGAACGGCACACAGAAGTGGCACCCCCATACCCTTCACCCCGAAACCCTAATCCAGAGGAAAGGGCAGAAGAAGGGGTGGGGCCCAAGCAGAGGCACGGGGATCAGCGGGTAGGGCAGGGGCAGCGAAGAAAGGGCCGCCAACGGGCCTGGCACAGCCGCCCGAACCGTGCGCAGGCGGCCCGAGCCGCGCGCGGGCCTGGCGCAGCCCGTACGTGCCGCGCGCAGGCTGTATGGGCCGCGCGCAGGCCACGACGGGCGACGCGGAGATCCCCGTCGCCCGTCGCAGCGCCTCCCGGGAGCGATGCGCGGCGTGACGGGGCAGAAACCCGCCGCGCGCCTCGGGGCGCACGACGGGAAGAGAACCGCCGCGCGCCTCGGGGCGCACGGCGGGCAGAAAACCGCCGCGCGCCTCGGGGCATGCGGCGGGATGAAAAATGCGTAACAGAGAGAGTAGCAGTAGCAGCGGAAGCTATGAGGTGGGGCCCACAGGCTAGGAGCATATCGCTCTGATTCCATGTGAAAGGAGTAATTAGAAGTAGGAGCCATAGCTAGGAAAGTCCTAGCTAGGCAAGAAACAGTTTAGGCAAAAGAGGGGGAACACTAGCAGCAATGAGGATACAAATAGCAAACCCTAGAAGGGTTGTACTCGCTATAGAGCACCCCACTACAGGCTAGAGAACAATAACATTCTGACATTCAGCCCTCCGACGGAACGGTCCACCCGCTCCGCCTCGTGCATGTAGGCGACTTGCTCGCAGAATGCGAGAAAACCGCTCGTGTAGTCTTGAACCGACCCGAGCTGCTGCCAAGTGCGCAGTCTCTGACGCGCGGAAATAGAAGTTGCGATTGGCTCGAAGCGCGCCCGAAGCCCTGCGCACCACGCATCCCACGTGCTGTACTAGGCGGTTTCGCAGAATGAACTCCAAGTGACAGCTGGACCCGTGGGCCCTTCCTCTTGCAACGGTGGCTCGTAGGCGCGTGGCGACGTCACGATGACTCGCCACTAGTCCATGGCGGGGCCCCTTAACAGCGAGACGGCGTATCTGATCTTCGCTGCGTCCGACTCGACGTAGTTTGCGTCGAAAAATACGTTCATCGTGAAGACCGACGACTGAACCGTCGGACCTCCACGCTGACTTGGGTCGAAACAGGGCGGGCGCTGCGGCTTGAGTGGTATTGGTGCCATTATGGTCTGGTCGCCACTTGTCGCTGTAAACTCCACGTGCCAATGGGCTTCACGAGGCTCCCGCGGGCTTAGCGCGACCCTGTTTCTCCCCATGCCCGGCATTGGTTGGGTAGCGCCATCACTGGCTGCGCCTGAGCGCTATCCCACACTGCCATTCTGTGTTGGTGTGCCTGATGAAACGACGATCGGCTCCTCCGATTGTGCAGGTGCATTTGCAGGTGCGTGTGGTGGCGCCGGAGTATTCACCGTAGATTGCTGACGCGCGGAGTCACGTTCCGCCGTGAGCGTCGCAATTTCGAGCGCCGATTCTTCAACTTGGCGTACGAGACGGTCGAGTTGCTCCTGCGTCAGTGTCGCGAGAGTAAATTCAGCCATGGCGGGGGTGTCGGGCAGGCTCAGCGAGAGCCTCTGTCGTGGCCGTGCGTGCTTACGAGAGAGCACTACGAGCGGCGGTGTTGTGTCGCTGAGAGACGTCTACCCCCCCAAAAATTGAGATGGTGGGGAAGCGAAGGTGTGGGTGCGGTCCGAGAAGAGATCGTAGGCTCTGAATACCAAGTATTATGAGTGCAATTGAGTGATCGAGCGAGAATTGCACTATCGAAGCAAGAGTACAATGAGCGAAGCCATGAGCGAAGAATATATAGCAAAGCTACTGTGGTAACGGTGATGGACTGTGGTTGTCGCGCGACGGGCCTGGGACTGAGGTTTGGGGAAATGTCGAAGCGGAGGTCCGGAGCGCGGATTACCCGCCGAGCCGTGAGGTCGGGGTGCGACGTGTGAAGGTGGTGGGAGGATTGTCGATGCGAGGGTTGCGAGCGGTAACGGTGCTGACTGTGGTGCTACAGTGGTGTACGCGCTGAACGGGGACGCGAAGTAAGGAAACGGAATTTTCCTTACATACACCTTTCATCCATGCAAGGAATTGTAATTCCTTACTGTACTCGCCCTTTAGCGAGTACATCCCGAGGGTCACGCGACGAACCTGTTCTGCCTAATTCGTCGGCCGAACCACTCGCGACCGGCTCCGCCCCAATCGCAACATCACCGAGCCATCCTTCGCCCGACCTCTTCGCCTAGCCAGGATTCCCCTTGTAAATTGCAGTCACTTTCCTTGTATCGTCATTCTGTAATTCTCATTCTCGTTATTCGATATTCTGCACACTCTGCAAGTTCATTCATAACAATCCACATCATCTGTTTCTATTCCACCTGATCATATACATTGGTGCATATATCAGGCTTTGCAAACCGTGTGAAGGAACCTTTTCCCATGCTGCTTACTATCCGTCCATGCGCGACAATGCAATACACCACCAATGTAGATACCTAATCGGTAAGCTTGTCGCCGGTGCCACCCCTTGGAGTGTTCGCATAACGACTACTAAAATATGTGATTCATGCTACCCTGAACGATCACGATTTTACTTGCAAACGGGCGGTTCTTGCTATATACGATAAATACATACAGCGTCCAACTACGGTACTCTGGAGCACAAGCTACGCAACAAAATACGAGCACACTACCGCGACTACAAGTATTCGGATCCCTAGATACTGTCTCTAAACAAGGGAATCGAAAAACATTCAGCAGAAAATTGAGTGTTTGCGTGGTTGTTGAAACACATGAAAAAGCTTTCAGCGAATCAGGGAGCTGTTGCACACACTGCCTGCTGTTGTTGCATGCCTAGCGTTGGTGAGCAGCAGAGGGGAACGAGGCAGTGTGGGCTGCTTGCTGGACCTGCCATTGTGAACAGTGGAGCATGGGAGAGAGAGAGAGAGAGAGAGATAAGAGTTGTGAGGGGTGGAGCACGAGAGAGGGAGAGGCCGCTGTGAGGATTGGAGAAGAGCAGGAGTAATGGAGAGGCAATTGTGAGGAGTGGAGAGCGGGAGTGAGGGAAAGGGCACGATAAAGGAGAGGAGGTACAAATGACACAACTCGAAGCCAAGCAGGGTGCACGTGGAAGGTACACATACCACGCAAGAACAACCCAGCGCGCACAGCATCTCAGGTTGACCAAACTTCAAAAGGCATACGTCAGTACCTGACTGGTTAGAAAAGCTGTGTCTTGATATTTGTAAGCATGCATGCCTTACCAGGCCGTCAAGGGTACGCTGTAACCAAGTGGTGTGAAAGGGCATTGTGTGTACTGTGCACGGGTTGCGCGCTGTGCACCGTCTCGTGAGACTTCTCCCAAGTAACTTCAGTGGCGCGAAACGCTTGGCTGTAAGAGCCGAAGGCTTGCTTTACCAGGAAGGCGTGGGGCTCATGCGGTACGGTACCCGAGTGGTTTGAAAGGGCGCCAAAATTAGGGCATGAGGCGAGCCCTGTGGACCACCTCTTGAGAGAATTCCAGAGTAGTCCCAGTGGGGCGAAGTCTTTGGTTGTAACTTGTAAGATTCTCCAGACATGCTTTGCTTTACCAGACAAACGCGCGGCACACACACACACACACACAGACACACACACACACACACACACACACACACACACACACACACACACACACACACACGACGTACCTGCGAGGCTTGAAAGGGCGTCCAAAGTAGGGCATGAGGCGAGCCCTGTGCACCATCTGCTGCCGCAGCCTCCTCACCTCCTCCTCCTCCCTCTCCCTCTGCCTCTCCTCCTCCTCCCTCCTTGCCTGCTCCTCCTGCTGCTGCTTCAGTGCCACCTGATCACATAAATGCAGGATGGGAGGATTGGTGGATGGGAGATGGGCAGGTGGGGAGTTTACATTCAGCTTTTCCAGGAACAGAGATGCGATTAATGCCTATCCTCTCACCTGCATGCACCCTCACATACACTCACAACTTAATACAACCCCCCTCACACACATCCCCCCTTCGCATACAAACCCCCCTCACATACCCCCCCCCCCCCCTCCCCCTCACATACACTCCCCCCTCTCACACACATTCGCACCCGCTTCTCACCTGCATGTCGTATGCGAGTCGCTCCACAGCACGCCTGTCTGTGTGCAGCAGCACCTCATCCGGGCATGTGAACTGGGGGGGTCCCTTCAGGTACAGCTCTGCTTCCGGCATCACAAACCCATGCTCCTGCTGCTCCCGCTGCTGCTGCTGCTGCTGCTGCTGCTGCTGGTTAGCAGTGGCAGACACAGCAGTGGCAGCAGGGGCAACTGAAGCAGCATCAATAACAGCACCACCAGCGCCACTGCGTGCCACCTGCTCCTCCTGCCTCTCCTCATCCCCATTCTCCCTCACACCCTCCTCACTCGCCCCACCACTGCTCCCATGACTGCTACCAGAGTCCGCACCCATCATTAGATTCCCAGACATGCTGCTGTTGCTGCTGCTGCTCCTGCTACCCTCGCAATTACTGCTGGTACCGTCACGCGAGAGTGAACCAGCACACGCCTGCTCCTGCTTCTGCTGCTGCTGCTGCTGCACCTGCTGCTCTTGCTCGATCGCTCCTGCTCCTCCTCCTCCTCCTCCTCCTCCTCCTCCTCCTCCTCCTCCTCCTCCTCCTGCTGTTCCTGCTACACTTGCTCCGCTAGGGGCAGTGACAGCAGAGGCAGCAGCGCCAGAAGCAGCAGAGAAGAGCTTGACCCGTTTCACAGGGGAAACCTCGTTGGCCGTGGCACTGCCAACAGCAGTAGCAGCAGTGGTGGTGTGCGGGCAGCGCACAGCAGGACTGGCAGCAGCGACAGCGCCCACAGTGCTCACAGAAACAACATGCTGACTGCGCTGCTGCTGCTGGTGCTGCTGATGAGAGGAGCAGGGCGAAGCAGGGGTGGCTGAGCCGGGGAGGGACGCATGCACCTCTGTGCTCCCTGCAGGTGTGCTCACGTATACGGATGTGCTCCAGCCCTGACGGTGGGAAGAGAAGGGAGAAGAAAGAGCGAGGGAGGAGGTGTAAGAAAAATCGTCTGCACCAGCCCTGATAGTGGGGATGGTGGGAAGGGAAAGCAAGGGAGGCAAAACGGATGGGAGAGATGTAGAGAAAAAGGTGTTTGGGATGGTCCAGATGTTCCATATGTTCCATATGTTACATTCTCAAAGAGAGGGCGCACCTTGGAGCGAGAGGCGTGGGCCTGGGGGGTTTGTGCAGCTATCTTGGTTTTGACACATCTCACAACAAATGTACCACACGTGAGAGTTCTCAAAATAGATCTGAACTTAGCATTCTGACAGGGCGCACCTTGGAACGAGATGCATGGGCCTGGGCCTGAGCAGTCATCTTATCCACAAGCGAGAGCTTCCGCGCTGCTGTGTGCTTGTACTCCTTGAAGCGGGATGTCACCCGCACTCGCAGCCTCCTCTCCCTGCATCCCCCACACCCGGTACCATCATTGCCCAGGCATGCACGGGACAAGCAGGGTCAGACCCACAGGTTGCGTTTTGACGAGTATGGGCATGTGCATGGGAATGCGCATGTGCATGTGCATGTAAGGATGGAAATGGGTATGGGCATGGGCATGTGCATGGGAATGCGCATGTGCATGTGCATGTAAGCATGAAAATGGGTATGGGCATGGGCATGTGCATGGGAATGCGCATGTGCATGTGCATGTAAGCATGAAAATGGGTATGGGCATGGGCATGTGCACGCACCTGGACACAGCCCATTTAGGGGCGGCAGACATGACTGCTTGAGGGTTCCTCCTCCTGCTTCCCCCAACTGCTCCCCCTCTGCTGCTCCTCCTCCTACCACTGCTGCTGCTGCTGCCACTGCTGCTACGGGTGACTGTAATTACACGCTGCTGTGTGCCTTCCTCCTCCACCCCCCCTCCCTTCTCAACCACACTCTCCACCAGCAGCTCTCCACCCCTTCCTCCTCCCCCCACCGTCCCCTCAAAACCACCAAACCCCTCCGCACCCCTCTCTCCTCCACACCTCCCCTCTCTCCTCCCCATCTTCCTCCCGGTCGTCTGACACACAGCGATGCAAGTCTTCTCCACAATACTCCCTCCGGGCGTGCAAGTATGCGTAGACGTCACCTCCACTGTCGTTGCCTCTGTGACCATACCCCTTTCTTGAGCCGCCTCAGAACGTGCCTTCTCCACTATCCCCTCCCTAGGTATGCACGATTGATTGGACTGGGCCGACTGGGTAGGCTGGATATACTGAGTCACCTTTACAGTCACTCCCTCTGTAAGAACCCCCGCGTCCTTCCCCCCATCGCTGTGCTGCTTGCTGCACTGCCTGGTGCTGCGCTCTACAGAGGGTTCGACTCGCACGGGGGTGCCTGATACCACCAACAAGGGAGCGCCAGCAGCGGCTGGAGCAGCAGCAGCAGCAGAAGCAGAAGCAGCAGCAGCTCCTGTAGCAGCTGTAGCAGCAGGGGCGCGACCAGCAGCACTGCTGCCGCAGGAGCTTCGAGAATCAGACACCCCTGTTGTACGGCCAGTGGTCGCAGCAAACGAGGCAGCATCAGCCGCTGCAGCAGCAGCACCAGCGGCCGCATCAGCAGCAGTGGCAGCAGCGGCAGCAGGAGGCGAGACGGATTGAGGAAGAGAAGAATTTGCCGCGCTATCCGCGTCTGCAATCAGCACAGCTGTTTTCCGAGCAGCCAGAGCAGACTCAGCATCATCACCACCACCATCACCGTCAGTAGCAGCACCATCACCACAACCATCATACCCATTGCAACCGTCATCAAGGTACGAGTCTGCGCCAAGCAGAGCGAGTAGGTCAATCTCCTCTATCCCGCTCACCTGCCCTATGTCTATACTCGCAGATATATCCCTCACAGCCGCCCTCTTTCCTCCACCTCCTCCTCCTGCTGCTGCTACTGCTGGTGCCTCTGCAGAAGCACCAGCGGCTGCTGGAAGGGCCTGTGGGGTCTCTTGAACCCCCTGCTGCTGCTGCTGCTGATGCTCTGGTGTTGGCTGAGAGGCCACCGTGACACCTGCAGCAGTATTAGCATCACCAGCGCTCGCAGCAGCAGCTGCAAGGGCGAAGGCACCAGGCGCAGCAACAGGTACAGGAGCAGTAGCTGGTGCAGTAGCAGCAGCACCAGCCCCAGCAGCAGCAGCACCAGCCCCAGCAGCAGCAGCACCAGCCCCAGCAGCAGCAGCACCAGCCCCAGTAGCTGGTGGAGCAACAGCAGCAACAGCTACCGGTGCAGCAGCAGCAGCAGCGGCGGGGGCGCCTGCGCCTGGCCTAGCAGCACCAACCCCACGGGCAGCCACTCGCTGCAGCCCGCTACGGGCGCGCAGGAAGTTCCTCTGAGGCACCTTGCTGCGTGCTGCGAAGCTCTCGTCATTGGCCGCACACTTGGGATTGCGGCACCTCACCACTGCTCCTCCCACTCCCCCTCCTGCGCCTCCTGCCCCTCCTGCGCCTCCTGCTGCTCCTCCTGCCACCCCAGCATGGTGGGAATGCTGGTGCGAGGCAGAACACGTGTGAGCCACCACTGGTGCTGACTCTGCTGATGCTTGCGTTGGCGCTTGTGCCTTTGCCTGTGCTTCAGCCACCGTTGAAGAGTCTGGACCAACAGCAGTAGATTCACTAGGAGCTCTAGCAGCAGCAGGAGCCGCAGAAGCAGCGTAATTCCATCCCGGCTCCTTCTTCCTCTCCACCTTCCCCTGCCTCTCCCCCTCCCTGCCCTTCCTCTCCCTCACCCCCTGCATCACAGCCTTCTGAATACTCAATGGCGCCACAGACCGTCGCCTCAGCTTCGCACCAACACCAACGCCAACTCCTGCCCCAATCCCTACTCCAAAGCCACTCACACCCGCCACTCGCCCAGACACTACCTTCGCTACAACAGCCTTCCCTGCAGCAGGCTTTCTCGCTACAGCCTTTCCTGCCACAACCGTTCTTCCATTGCTGCCGCCGGCTGTTGCACTAGGGCCGGGCGCAGGCCCAGCAGCCGCAGCAGCAGCAGAGGTTCTCTGACTCTCCACCTCTCTCTTCCTCTGCTCACGCTCCCTCCTCTCCCTCTCTGCCTTCTCCCTTCGTTCCTTCAGCCGCGCACCCAAGTCACTCCCCCCAGTGCTGCCCTGCGCCTCTTCCGCGCCCCCACTCCCCTTCTCCTTCCGCGGCAGCCCCAAACGTGACTGCACCTGAATCCCTCCTTGCTGCCTTGCTCCCGCTCCCACTCCCCCTCCAACTCCCCCTCCCGTCCCTCCCTTCACTCCCATCCCTCCCTTCACTCCCTTACCTCCCACACCATTCCCCTTGCCCGCCAGCAGCTTTCCCATCGCTCCGCTCTCTGCCCCCCCCACCTTCCCCTCCCCGTTCCCTCGCCCCTTTCCTTTCTCCTTCCCCACCTCGGCGCCTCTCTGGGTCTTATCTATCAGCTCTTGAATTTCTGCCACGTGCTGCTTCACCAACCCTACTGCACTCACGCCCTCTTTTTTCTCCGCGCAAGTTTTCTCGCCGTTCCCTTCTCCTTTCCCCTCTCCCTCCACTCTTGTACCGTCTCCCTCGCGCGACGGACTCTCCTGCCTTCCTTTCTGCACCTCACCCCTCTCCACCTTCTCCTGCTGCTCCTTCTTCCCTCCCTCGTCCTTCTCCCCTACGCCCAGTGACCTCTGCATACTGCTGCCGACCGACCTTGTCCGCGCGAGCAACCCTGAGCCGCTCCCACTTCCCACCTTCCACCTCCTCTCCGTTTCCACCCTGGGAGAACCAGCAACGCCGCTAGCAGCAGCACCGGTGCCAGCAGCAGCGGCAGCACCAGCACCCCTGCCAGCACCAGCAGCAGATTCAAATGCCAGAACTAACGGTCGAACCAGACGACTGTTGGCCACACCAGCTCCCTTCACTCCTCCCCCTCCTCCTCCGGCTGCTGCTCCTCCTCCCTCACCCCATCTCTTCCTCTCAGACCCTCCTGCTCCCCGAGCGTAGCTTGGGCTCACCCCTCCTCCCCCTCCCCATCCCCTTCCCTCTCCCCCTCCTCCGCCTCCTCCGCCTCCTCCGCCTCCTCCGCCTCCTTCTCCTCCTCCTTCGACCGCCTTCACCACTGCTGCCACGGAACCAGGCCGTACCACCGAGCCAGGCTCGCCGAGCCTGGACGCCAGGCCTGGAGGCGCCGAGCCTGGGGGCACGGGCAGCAGCGACGGACCAGCACCGCTTCTGCCAGCAGCAAGAGACATACCGAACCGAGTAGCAGGCGGCGGGGTAACAGGCGGTGTAACCAAGTCAGCTTGACCAACACTCGCTGCCGCGTTCTCCTTGATAGCCGCAGCAGAATCACCACCAGCAGATTCAGCAGCAGAAACAGCCGCAGCCGCAGCCGCAGCAGCAGCAGGAGCAGGAGCAGCAGAAGCAGCAACAGGGGAAGCCTGGGGATCAGAGGCGGCGGCAGCAGGGCCGCTACCCCCTGGTACCAGTGACAGTGACACAGCCTGCCACCTCCCAGGGCTTCTCTTGACATAGGCGGACGATGCAAGCCCTGTGATCTTCTGCCACAGGGACCGACCAGACGGCTTCGCAGGGGCAGAGGCAGGCGCAGAGGCAAGGGAGGTAGGGGCAACAGCAGGCGCAGTAATACGCGCAGAGACAGGAGCAGAGGCAAGGGCAGAGGCGGGGACAGGAGCAGAGGCAAGGGCAGAGGCGGGGACAGGAGCAGGCAGGCTGCTGGGGATGCCACCGCCGTTGCTGCTGCTGATGCCCTGCCCTGCACCAAGGTTGGGGTTCGCAGCACCTCCTCCTCCTCCTCCTCCTCCTGCTGCTGCTCCTGCAACTACCGCTTTGTTATGCTGATTTTGGCGCCTGAATACAGGAATTCCTGTCATACTGCTGCTGCTGCTGCTGCTGTTGCTGTTGGTGCTGCTGTTACTGCTGGTGGCAGCACCATTGGTGTCACTGCTGTTGTCACCACACGGCACCTTATTCTCTCGTCCACGCGAAGCGGACGAGGGAAAGGACGGCTTGACTGGCTTGGGCGCAGAATACGCATGCACGTGTGTTGGAGCAGAGGCAGTAGCGGCAGAGATTGCATGCACTGTGTTGGTGCTGTCCGCTGCCACTGCAGGACGTTCAGCAGCAGGAGTGGCAGGAGTGGCAGGAGCAGCCGCCGCCGCAGCAGTCGTGGCAGCAAGCGCAGGAGCTGGAGCAGGAGACGAAGCAGCAGCTCCGTTACAAGCGGACCTGGTATCGGCTCCAGGAGCAGCAGCAACAGCAGCAGCAGCCACAACCCCACCACTCGCCACTCCCGTGAAAGCAGAAGCCCCAAAGAACGCCCCGCTTCCGTCGCTGCTTGCACCACTCCCAGAGGCCGAAGCACTGGAGACAACGGGGGTGAGAGCAAACGCGGACGCAGCCAACAACCCTCCTCCTCCTCCACCTCCTCCTCCTGCTGCTGCTGTGCGTGCTGCAGCAACAGGTATGCCGCCCGGACTAGCCTCGACAGGGCTATGGCTCGGGGACGTGCGGAAGAGCGCGTTATTGCACACCATCATCACTCTTCCGCCCGCCCGCTGCCCCCCCGCGGCCGTTGCTGACGTGGAGCAGCTGCTGACGCCAGGTGATGACACGTCGGACACACGCAGAGAGGTAGATTCACCTGTGAACTGCTGCTCACTCTGCAACCCTGGATACCTCATACCTCCGGCTGCTGCTGGTGGTGCTCCTCCTCCTCCTGCTGCTGATGCTGCTGGTGCTGCTCCTCCTGCTGCGGGTGCTGCGGGTGCTGCTGCCGCAGCAGCACCCTTCCCAGTGGTCACAGGCGTCGCGAGTGCCCCACCTGATGCTGCTGCTGCTGCCCGTTCCGCTGCCGTTCCTCCTTGATTCTTCGGCCTTCCACCACCAACACCAGCAAAAGCAGGCGTACCAGCAACAGCACGTGTCCTCTCCGCTGCATCTGTCACCACTCCTAGCTCCGCTTTCCTCGCTCCGTCTCCCACGCACACCCTCGCGCTCGCCGTCGCCGTAGCCGTCGCTACAGGCGTCCGCCCGCCGTCATTCGCGGCGCCCTTCGCGGACGGCGCCGCTTTCTGCGACGACTCGAAGATCGACGCGCTCGCTGTAGCCGTCGCCGTCGCCTGCACCGACCCCTTGGCGACGGCGGGCGACGACACCGTCGCCACCACGCGTCGCCCACCAGGCGACGACTGAATCGTCGCTTGCGCTTCCACCTTTCCGCCGCCTCCCCCTCCGCCTTCCCCTTCCGCCTCCTTCCAGATGGTCGCTTCCGCCTGTGCACGCGCATTAGCAGCGGCGGGGGGACCGGAGTCCTTGCGCGCGCTCGTCCCATTCGCGCTCTTCTCGGCTTCTGCTTCCGCCTCGGACAACTTAATTGCGCCCTCTGTTGCGCACTCTCCCCCGTCCTCCCCTGTGCCCCTCTCTTCCCCGCCCTCCGCCTTGCTCTCCGCCTTCTCCCCGCGCGATTCCCGCGCCTCCTGCGCCGCCGCAATGACCCGCGCGCGGAACGACGCGCTCTTGAATGGCGCGGGGTTGAGGGGGACTCCGCGCACGCGGGAAGGTGTTCTGCGGGCGAAAGGACACAGTCGCGGACAGCAGGTGTTAGAGTAACGTCGACGGACAGAGAAAGGCAACGTTGACATGACGACATGACACGAGATGACACGACATGACGAACCAGAAATTAAATCAAGAAATAGGAACGCCGCGAGCAAGAGAAATTGGACCCACGAGCAAGACTAAGGCGGCGCTATTATTTCACAAACCGCCGTGTCACTGCCACGTGGCACTCACCCGTTGGATTTCTCCGACGCGAAGCTGAGCGAGCGGGAAACTTCCGACGGCGTCGCACGTGCTGCCGCCGTCGCCGTCGCCGTCGTCGTCGCTGTCGCATCAGCGGGCGATCCAGTCGCCACACTCCTCTTCCCCTTACTCGGCGACGCAGCCGCAGCAGCAGCAGCTGGGGAGGCGTTACCAGCAGCGGTAGCGGCGGCGGCGGCACGGGCGCGAGCGGCGGCGGGGGAGGAGGAGGTGTGCCGTTTGGTGGTCGCTTGCTGCTCCTCCTCTTCCTGCTTCCTCGCTTGCTTCTGTTTCTCCGAGGGCTGTTGCTTCCGCTGCTGCGTCTCCTTTTCCATCGCCGCCACTGCTGCTGCCTCTGCTGCTGCCTCTGCTGCTGCCGCTGCTGCTGCTTCTCCATACGCCACGGCAGCGGGCGGGGTCGCCGTGATCGCAGTCAATGCGGCGTGGATAGCCCACGCCGCGCTGTCACCGTCGTCCGCGATTTCCGCATCTGACGGGCGGCAAGGATCAGCGGAAGGGAAAGGACCACGGGGGGCGCGGGGAAGAGAAGGCGGGAGAAAAAAATGTTGTGAGAATAACAGCATGACAATACGGGCAGGAAGATAACGGCAGGAGGAAAGGATCGACGTGACTCCATTACGAGCACTGTGTAGACGCACGTCGATCGGCTGGTGGTCGGTCAATGTTCGGACTTACAGGACGGCGAGCTTCGGAGTAGCTCGCGTCGCGAACCACCATAATCGGTCCGCCCAGGATGTCGCTCAAGCCCAAGTCAGCGAGTAGCTGGTTTTTCCTCTAGACAGCGGCTTGATTGCCTCCTGGCCCTATTGTGACCCTCTCGTGGCTCTCATGTGCCTCCCCTGTGGCCTATCTGTTACGCTCGAGTTGCCCTCCTCTTACCCTCCCCCTAACCTCCTATTTCCCTCTTCTTACCCTCCTCCGGTGCTCTCCATGCTCGTGTTGAGAACCCTCAACAACCAGCTGGTCGAGAGAGGAGGTCCGGCCGTCCATTTTCATCCATTTTCTCACTCTCTCGTGGTGACAAGCTACGAACACGTGACCAATCACGAACCACCAATGCAGAGACCTTCCTTTCTCTCTCGTTCTCTAACTCTCACTCTTGCTCACCCCTCACTGTCGTACCCTCTCGCTCTCTCTCACCCTCTCGCCATCTCACTCTCTCACTCTCTCTCCTCCTCTCTCCCTTCTCCAGTCTCTCACCCTGCGCGCCGTCGAACCACGAGTCCCCCGAGTGCAGCGCCTCCTCCTCCTCCTTTTGGCAGAAGTTGAAGTACTTGGGCGCGTGAATGTCCTCATACAGAGGGTCGATATACTGCGATGCTCCTCCGCTCGACGACGACGACGCCGCTGCTGTTCCTCTCCGGGCCGGTGCGACGGCAGCTCTGCTCCGCGTGGGAGTTCCCGCCGGCTTCATCTTGCGGTTTCCGCGCTCGCGATTGCGGATTTATTGGGGAGGGACGGTGTCTTGCTCGTGTAATTGTTGAATGGGATCTGCCTGGAAACGCTAGAAACGAACCTAGAGGAAATGGAGAAACGGTGCTAGAAGAAGAGGTGGTCTCAGAGGAGACCGTTATGTATATGTATAAGAAAAAACACTATCTGCAGGAAGTTAAAAACTACTGGTTGGTTGATACGACGTCTCAGCGGTAAGTGCTGGTTGAAGAACGGTGCATGCCCTTGCAGCTATAATCTATGCGGAGGAGGAAGGTCATATTGGTGGAGGACGTACGGCAGTTGGTGCGAAAGATTCGAAAGTAAAAAAAAAAAGGTCTGAAGCTACGTTAAGCGGATGGCGCGTGGTGCGGCGAGATGCCGAAATCCAAACCGTTTTAGGCAAGGATAGTTGAATCTGAACGAAGATCGGAAGAAACTAGGATGGTGAGGAAGTAACGAAGCGAAGGAAAGCAGGCGCACGGAAGAATATAAGTCGGCTGCCGATGAAGTACTGAGTGCATTGCACGTGGATTTGCCTGGAGGTGGAAAAAAAACAGCTGCACCAGGAAATTTGACACGGCTGCATTAGGAGTGTCCTTCACCTGCTTCGTCGTGACAAAGAGGTCCCTGACTTCACCACAGCAGACACAGCTAGCCTCCTTGCTGTATGGCAATTCCCCTCGAGAATGGTGTATTGGTGAGGCGAATGCTCCGCGGCATTCCCAAGTGCGCTGCGCGTGTAGATCAGCCAATTCTGCCTGAAGAGGCAGAAGGAAGCATCCAGGCGACTGCATCTCTGTTTGTGACCCCGGGGAGGGGAGTAGCGGGGAAAGCGGCAGATGCACTCCGCACGGTTTGTCATTTGCGGGGAAATCGGTTGGCGCAGAGACGCGTCGCAGCGGGCAAATTTGAGTGAGCGAGTGTGCCCTATCGAGCCGCGCTAGGGCTGCGAGTTCTGCTGCAGGCAGACCTAAGCGCGCAAAGCACCGATTGGCTGACGTCTGTACTGACATTCGCGATTTCCCTGGCACTGGCTTGGAGAACAACTGTCGGTTGGCGGACGCAAGCGAATGTAACAATCTCCGCGAGAGCGGACGGAAATGGAAGGCGGAGGGGCAAGTGAGGGAGGTGGGGAGGGGAAGGAGAAAACACAAGGGGCTGGCTGGCTGGCCGTTGATCCTGAAGCTGAAACGGGCGGTGCTGACTGGCAGGTTTTTCGCGGGAAAGGGCCGAAATTTGAAAATTGTCCCGCGTCCCAACTTCCGCAAATAATGGTGCGCCGTTAATTTCAATCGGAACCTACACCTGGATTTTCTTGATTGAAACATAACTAAAAATTACATACGGTACTGCCTTTCAACATACTGCATACTGGACTGGTCTCTCGTGTGCCCTCTAGCACATCCATGTATCATATTGTATTCTACTCGTTTAAAAAGTCATCAAAGTTTGCAGCATCGATAATGACCGCGTTTATATGAATGTGCACCACAATGTCGCTTCTACGTTTTTGCGATAGTTTGATGTGTGCGAGTACTATGCTGACTTCTGCCTGTATCTCCATCCTGTGGAGGAGTGGTGTTCTGGGATGGGGTAGAGGAAAGTGCACAGTGCGCATGCATTCGGTTTGAACCGGATTCAAACAATCCCAACACTTACTCTCTTCACCTTACTTTTTATGATTCGGGTAGAGCTCTAGTGTTGTGCGTGCTCAGTGAGATAACCAAACAAGATGACAAGCGGTATGAGACCGTAGTACCGCAGCAAGAATAAATCACACAGTACGGTATCATACATGATAGACACGATGTACCAAGCGTACAGATGGAATGTAGAAATATAATTAAGTCTGCACAAAAAGCGATACCAACGAGCAGCAAGCAAGAACCCTGGTAGTTAGCATTACCTACAGCACCAAGCAATTAGATTGAAAAGGCATCGTAGCATACAGGACAGCACCAGCCTGTTAGTACCACACACACACACACACACACACACACGCAAAGTCTCTCCCGGGTGATCATACACCTCAAGCCTTCTTCTTCCCTGCGAGAATACGAGAGATCTGCAGCCCCCTGCTGAACGCCTGGTTGAAGAGAAGGCGCGTCTGGAACTCCGAGACAAAGGGGAACCAAGCCAGGACCGCGATGGGGATGAAGAGGATGAGCCCAAACAGGTACTCATACAGTACCGCCAGGCCCTTCACCGAGTCCCACATGCTGCTGGGAATGATGGGACGAATCGCCTGGGCGACCTGTTTGGAAAAAATGCAACATGGGACGGAGGACAAGGGGAGCAGAGATGTAAGGAGGAAGGAGGAGTAAGGAGGTGGGGCGAGTAAGGAGGAGTCATGCAACCGTCAAGGAAAAAGATCCAGGCACGTGAAGTAACCAACAGAAAACCACCAGAACTGTACACAGTGTGATTAACGGCATGAACTCTAGGAACGGTTAACATCCATGACCAGGAAGAAATAAATCTTGATTAACACACCTGGAGCATGAACCAGCCAGTGGGGATGGCAGCAAGAATGCACGCGAAGAGGTCTCTCCAGGTGAAGGAGGTGAGACCGATGATGAGGGCGAGTGCAATGACGAGGCAGCAGAAGGTGACTGCCTTGATGATGCGGAACAGCAGCTGCAGGTCCGCTCCAAAGCGCCTGCTGCTCATAGACACGACCTGAGGGAGTGTGGGGGGATGGGGAGGAGAGGGGGGAGGAGAGATAGAAATGAGTGGGGAGAAGGGAACTGGGAGGAGACAAGAGGGTGAGAGGGGAGTGCTAGAAGTTGTGGGAGGGGAGAAGTCGGGGTAAGGGAGGAGCTTGATCAGTGAAGGGAAAGGAAAGTTTGGGGGCATGAGTGGTTGAGAGCAGAGCAGCAAGCACAAAGCCTAGTGAGTGAAGGATATGCGTGCAGTGAATCCATGCCCACAGAACTAACAGCAAGAGCAGCAGCAGCAGCAGAACAAGACAAAGAACGAAAGCTCAAGATTTTCCACCTTGAAAACAATCAGAAGCCCAAGCACAACCAGCCATGATATGCCATAGATCTGCACACACGGACACACAGAGACAGGCACACAGTGATCAGGAAAAGGGTTGAGGAAAGATTGAAAAAAATTGGAAGGTCCATCGCCTGCTTCCAATTGTCCAGCCCCCTATTTGATATCCTCCACCCTACCCACGTGTCTCACTTCCTCCCGCTGCCCCTTTCCCACTCCCCGCCTCCCGTCTCTCCCCTCCCCAACCTCTCCCCTTTCCCTTCCCCACCCTCCCCCAACGTACCAGCAGGCTGGTGCTGCCATTATTGACATCCAGTGTGTACACCATGCCATATTGGTAGATGAGAAAGCGCAGGGACAGCACCACCTCCACCAGCCGCCCCACCCACCCCGTGTGCACCAGATGCTCCTGCTCCTCCTCCCACCATGACTCCCAGCTCCTGTCCCCCTTCACTCCGATCCCCCCATACGCCCCGATCCACCTGTTCCAGTCCTCCCAATCCTCCACCACCTTCTGCCACTCAAACGCCGACGGGTTGAACACAAATGGCGCAAACAGCCACGAGAGGCAGAGAAACCACATGGAGAATGTCACCAGGAAGTAGCTCAACCCGTTGCTCGAGCTCATGCTCTCTCCATAGATCGCAATCACAATCAGCATCAGGAGGAACTCGAGCGCGACGGTGAAATGCGACCGTGCAAACAGCCGGTAGTTCTCCGCAAACTTCTCGTGCCGCACCACAAACCCGCGCCCTGTCGGCCGGTACTTGGCCCCCCCATGCATGATCGTCCGCACAAAGAAATGTGCCTTGGTCCCGAGCGAGAACGTGAAGAACACAGAAGCGAGCTGCAGCTGCATGAGGATAAAATCCACCATGGCAGTGCGGAACCCCCTCTCTAGCCCCATCTCCATGAGCATTGGGAGGGCCATGAGCAGACCCAGCTGCACGAGGGCTTGCGAGGAGAGGGCTGACTGGAGCGAGTCGGATCCGGAGATGTTGGCGTTGTTCATTAGGGATCTGCCCACGCCACTCAGTGACAGGTACACACGTCCGTACAGGAAGGCATAGACCGTCAGCACCACGATCTGCCAGGGAGGGAAACAGGGAGAGGGGCCGGGCCAGGAGCAAGGGGAAGAATTGGGAAGGGAAGTGGACGGGAAACAGGTGATTCTTAGAGTCGAGAGCAGAGAAAAAAGTCACACCCTCAAGAAACACAGGGCACCAGCGACCGCAGGCACCAGCAAACACAGCCCCAGCATCCACAGCCCCCAGCAACCAGAGCCTCACAGAAACCCTCATGCGCCACTCACCACGGAGCTGACATAGAACCCCACGGTTGTGAAATACGCCGAGAGCGAGCGCATGAAGTCAAACCGCGACCCGACACGGTAGATATCCCGACTCAGCGCCTGCTCGCCGTTTCCATTCGCCACCTTGGCCTCAAACAGTGAGATCTGGTTGAGCCCCACGTCTCGCCCCTTCCCCACTTGGATGTACTCGTGGTGTGTGACTGCTCCACGGCGCAGCGTGCTGTTGATGCCTGCGTAGATGTCCTCGCTCAGGTTGATTCCGCGTGATGCCTTGCTCACGCCGCCGCGAGTGATGTGGAAGAGCCGGTCGAACACGTCTGGGTGGCCGTAGTGGAAGCGCACTCTGTTGGGGTGGTGGAGGGGGGACGAGGAGGGGGGACGGGAGGGGGAAGAGGAAGGGGGAAACGGAGGGCCAGAGAACAGGGATAAATAGGCCAGTGACGAGGGATCAACGGAGAGCAACCAGCAACCAGCAAGCGGCGATAGATCTTGGAAAGAAGAGACAGTCAAAGACGACAGGCAAACAAGTGCAAATGCCAGAGCGAACACAGCAGGAGCAACCAGCAGCAGCATCTTACTTGAGAGGCCATGCAAGGATCCTCTGTCCAATTGTCACAAAGCTGCTCTCCTGGCACGACATGAACCACCCCAGCGAAGACACCGAGCCCGTGAAAATATGCTCCCGCACCCCCAGAATCGTGGGCGGCCGGGATCCCATGCACTTCGACAGCACCCCCTCCCCGCCCCCAAACTCCTGCAGCAGATTCCGCATCTTGAACGCCTCTTCCAGGTAGTTATCCTGGTTCATGTCAATCGCCTGCAGCGCCTCTCCTCTGGTGAAGATGATAGCAGCGTTCTGGTTCTCCGGCTTGCCCTCGCCCAGCTTGGCCTGCCCTGGCAGGCGCACGCGGTAAATCTCCTGCTCCACGCCCCTAGAAACCTTGACGAGCACGGAGAAATACTCCTTGCACACGCGCCCCTTCTCCTCCACCTCCACCTCGTCGATGTACGCCACCCGCAGGGCATCATGGCTGGGGGTGGGGTGGGGGGATGCGGCGGAGGGAGGGGGGAACGATAATGGTATGAGGCGTTTGGGCAGTGCACGAGAGCACATACAGGCACACACGCCCCGTCTCCTCCACCTCCACCTCATCTATGTATGCCACTCGCAGGGCATTGTGGGGGGATGCAGGGGGGGGAGGGGCATGTTGGAGTTGGGGAGATGGGAACGTGCAATGTGCAAGGAAGTAGCAAGGAGGAGGGAGAGGGGAAGGGGGAGAAGGGAGGGGGGAAGGGGGCATGGAAAATAACTTGCTGTGCAGAAAGGACGAGGGAAAGAGCTAGAGAAAGCGAGGGGCATAAATTTGGGTGAATGAGAGCAGGAACGACAAGGAATTGGGGATTGGGCAGCATGGTAGCAAAGGCAACTCCAGGTTCCACCATAAACTAATTCCCCTCCCGTCTCCCCCAATGCCTCCCCCCTCCCCCATCCCCCATCTTCCCCGCTCCCCTCTTATCACCCCATTTCCCCCTTCCAACCCAGCACAGCCTTCCCTCTCACGAACGTACGTTTTCATGAGCTCGAAAATGTCAGCTGCCCGCTGGTCGCCCGCTTGTTTCTGCTGCCCGTACAGCTGGCAGGCGACGACGTATGTGAACTTGAGATCCGTGACCGCCTCAATCTGCTTCCACGTCGCCCTGCTGCTGACATCTCCCTTGCGCGCTGCCTGCTTCAGTGCACGGTAACCGGCCGAGAACTCTGGTGGGTGGTGGAGTGAGGCAGGTGCATGAGGAGAGTGAGACGGGTGGGTGGAAGGAATGAGAGGAATGAGGAAGAGGGGGTACGCAGTATGTGCAATGAAGAAAGGAAGAAGGGTCAAAAGAGCAAAGGAATTCGCCATGTGGGTAGTCACAAAGGACAACGTGGGCTCCAGGGAAGCCTCCTACCTTGGTCTGTGGAGATGTCTAGGAACGCCTGTAGCTCCATGGCCCGCTTGTAGTACATCATCCCACGCACTGTGCACAGTAAACACATACGCACAGGCACAGGCATAGGTACAGGCACAGGCACGGGCAGAAAGACAGGCACGGGCACAGACGACATGGGCACAGACAGCACTCAGCAAGCATGTGGACCGGGAGGACACGGAGGCAGAGGGGCGGAGAGGTAGGGAGGTAGAGAGATACAGAGCACACACAGTACAGAAAACATTAGGAATGTTAGAACAGTGGAGGAACATGAGCACGTAGGAACAGTGGATTATTTAGAATGTCAGTGCACCAACCTCATGCCGTCCACCTCATCTCACCACCCTCATCTCACCACCCTCATCTCACCACCCTCATCCCACCACCCTCATCCCACCAACCCCATGCCACCACCCTCCCCCTCACCCTCCCCCCTCACTCAACCTCTCCATCCACCCTCTCCTCTTCCCCCCACCCCTCTCCTCGCCACCCACCTGTGCGCCACAGCGTCTGTCCGCGGTTGGAGGCCCACGCCCTCAGCTCCCGGTCGCCATTCTCCCTCGCCACCAACTCCTCCTCTGACTCGCACCCCATGCGCTCCAAGAAGTTGCTCCACTCCTCTGCACGCATGCACACACGCACAGGCGGGCAGGCAGGCGGGTCGGCAGGTACGCAGGCAGAAAAACAGGCAGGCAGGCGCAGGGGCAGGCAGGCATTGGGAGAAAGGTGGATAACAGGATGAGTGCGAAATGAGCGGATAGAACTGAACCAGGTATAAGGCGGACAAGATGGACAACGCAATAAGATGAACCAGCAATAAGCATTAAGGAGGCGAACACGGTTAACTGACTGTAAAAAACCGAATGAGCTTCAAAGGCACTTCGATACAACTTGGGGATGTGGGAGGGGAGGAAGTTGGGGGGAAATGATTGCACGTACAAGATGCATGAAAGAGAGAGCTCGTGAGCTGCAGCTCAAGCTAAGCCACCTGTGCATACTCACCCGGGTAGATCTTCTGCAGGTAGAACAAGATTGACACGCCGTCCTCATTCTCCTCGTTCAGCTGCCTCGCCCCATACATCACATCCTCCGAGTAGTACGGCGTCAGCACGCTGAACGACGGCATGAACCGCACACGCGGCGCATGCGGCATGTCCATGAACAGCGAGTTTGTGAAGAAACAGATCCTCCTGCGCGCCTCAGGGTTGGTAGGCACATCCATTGCTGCTTCCCGGCACGTCAACAGCAGGAGGAACCGCTTCACTTGCTCGCACCAAGCCGGGGTTTTAGGGGGCGGATACAGCACCCCCACTCTCCCCGCTCCCTGGTTCTTCGCCCCTCCAGCAGCAGCAAAGAGCTGAACCGTGCGTGCCTCTGAGAGGGGTCCCCCATGGGCGGACATTGCCTCTCGCATGGTTTGAGAGATCAGATCACAGGTGAAAACCTCAAACAGATCCTGTAACCCTCGGATCAGCGCACTCTTCCTGTCCTTCTCCTCCTGACTCCCTGCCACCTTGCCCCCCCCGTTGCCCTTACTGCTCCCCGCCTCCTCCTTCTCCTTCCCCTTCCCCTTCCCATCTGGAGACCCTCCCCCTCCCCCTCCTCCTGGAGTATTGCCAGTTCCTGCCGTCCCCGGTGTGGCGGGGCGGCCGGCAGTCTTCTTAACCCCATCTGCCTCGGCGATATCAGCCAGCAGCTGCACCAGCTCCACCACACTGGTGATGAAGGCAGGGAGGGCCTTCATGCGCAGCACAGTGAAGAGCGTGCCATTGTCTATGTTGCGCTTCACCTCCTTGAGCAGCCCATTCACCACACTGCGAGTAAGGTGGGCAAGGCAGGGGAAAAGGGGGCGAGAGGTGAGGGGTATGGAATCGAGCTTTGAGACGTCTATAGTGTGAGTGTGTGCATTGAGGATGTGAGTGAAGGAAGGGAAGGCGCTTTTTCGCCTTGAGAAGCCCGTTCACCACACTTTGAGTGAGGTAGGAGAAGGAAGGTGAGGATGGGTGGAGAAAACCGCGAGGGAGTGACAGAGAAGGAAGGCTAGGGAGGGGGGAGGCATGAGGAGCAAAGGATGCACCAACACAACCTCCCCTCACCCAGTGCACTGTCAGCGCTGCTTACAATTTCTCGTTCTCCCCTATGAGCAGGGTGGTCAGGATGTGCTGCAGCGTGGCAAAGGCCTCCTCGACCGCAAAGCGCATGTACGAGTCTGCGGAGATGCGATGCCACACATCGCTGTCGCGCCCCTTGGCGCCCTTCACTGCCATCTCCACTGCTCGCGGTACCTGGAGAGGCACAGAGAGGGGCACAGACAGGCAGAGACGGGCAGACAAGTAGCCTAAGACGGGCAGACAAAGTCGAGTAAGCAATTTCCTCAGATATGCACAGACGTGCAGAGGTAACGTATGGGAGTGAAGAGGTAAACGTCAGACGTGAAATATCTTGAAATGGGTTGAGGGGGACATGGATGCCAGCATGAACGTATGCTATGCTAGCGCGGATGTAAGGCGGCCACTGGATGATGGATAACAAATGAGGAACGGCGGCTACTAGAATTGGTACCTTGCTGGCGAGGAGGAAGGGCGGCCATTGCACGATGGAGAGATCGCCAGAGGAGTAAGGCACCATCATGAGATCCATCTCCCTGCCATGGGCACACACGGGGGGCAACAAACACGAGGTGCCGTTTGGTTCTTTAATGTCAGTGCGGTGGGCACACACAGGACCAGAGGCACCAAGTGGCATAGTCAATCGAGCAAACCAGGCAAATCAGATAGACAAGGAAGCAGTCATAACACAACATTCAGCGTCTCAAAGAGCTGGTGCACAGCAGATCAACTCACCAGCCCATACTCCTTACTTGAACCAAGTGTCAGCCCCAAGCTCACCAAACCACTAAACCACGCACCACATCCCGACCATAATCCTCTCCAGCCCACACCCCAACTCCCACTCCCGCTCCCACGTTCACATTTAAACCCACACCACCCACCTGTTGCTGATCAAATCCTCCTCCCTGAAGCTGACAATGACTTCGTTCCACAGCTGTGCAAAGCGCGCAGCCTCCTTGGTGTTCTTGTCGGGCTCACGGTACGTGCGGGCGAGTGAGAAGGCACTGCGCTGCAGGCGCTGCGCTGGCACCAGGTTCGCGTTGAACGCACCAGGCAGCGAGCGGAACCGCTGACGCAGCATCTTCAAGTTGCGGATCTGAGTACGAATGGGGGGAAATGGGGAGGGGAGCAGGGAGAAGGGGATGGAGAAGTGTAAAGGGGATACGAATTGAGGGAACGAAAGGGGTGGAGGGAAGGGAAGGGAAGGAAAGCACAGGGTAGGGCAGGGAAGGCATGGGAAATCAAGAGCAGAAATGCGGCGCCACGATACACCACGCCACGCCACACCACACACCACACCACTCCACACTACTCCACACATGCCACACTATGCAACGGCATGCCCGGTAAACCCGGTTAAATCGGATTGCTGAGACGCCCTTGTGTCCAATCCCCCAACTAACCTCTCCCAGGCGCTGGAACGCGCCGGTAATGCCTCCCAGGAGCGTTGACATGACAGCATACCAGATCTGCGTGTCCATGAAATAAACCTGCCACCACCCAAGAACAAATCGTACGTGGGTAGGGTATGGGGGGGGGAGGGACAATGCAAATACGAGTAAGAAGCTGAAATGCGAGTGTATAGCAGGCGCAGTAGCAGCTGCAACAGAATCAGCAGCAGGCGCAGCAGCATCAGAAATTGAAGTAGCAGCGGCAGCAGCTCCACAGCAGCAAAAACCAGCAAAAGGACAACATCAATGAAGCTCAGAAACCAGCATTGTCAGCAGCACCAACAACCCCAACCGTCCTCTCACCAGGATGATTGGAGCCCAGAGCGTGATGACAGCGAAGATGTTGAGGTCTGTGGGGATGAGCTTGTGCCACGAGTACACCACGTTGGTGGTAGCCATGATCTGATCTGTCGGCGCCACCAGTGGCTCGATCTGGAACTTGAAGCTGAACACCAGCTTCGCCGCTATCAGCACCACCCAGAACAACGTGTAGCTGGGGTGAGGGAGAGAGGAGAGGTGGGGTGGAGTTGGAGGAAGAGAGGAGGAGAGGTTGCGTTGGAGTTGGAAGGGATGGTGTCTGATTGAGGCAATTGAGTGCCCAGGCGGGGTAGAGGAAGGGAAACCCACAATTCGAGGCAGCACATTAGCAGCAGAATGAAGCAGAGAGATAGCTTACTTGAGAATCGTGACCTGTGACTCCTGCATGCCCCGCCCAACGTACTCCGCTGGCTGTAGTGGGGCCACAGGCAGAAAAAAAACAAAACATGCTACTTGAGTGACATGACAACCAACTTTCAAGTCGTCTCATAACCAGGTCAACAAGACAGCAACCCATTCCTATGCAAATCTTAACGCGTGAAGAGAGCTTACACAGTGAGACTCATAAATTCCCCTCATACAACAACCTACCATCCAACACATGCCTTGGCCCTCATCCATTCCCCCCACCATCACCGTGCCCCTCCTCCCACATCCACATACCCACACGCACACCCCAACACACCCCACCCCTTCCCACTCCAACTCACGCCTACCCACCCACACACCCACCTGCGACCACCAGAGGATAACCCTGAAGATCATCCAGTTGGAGTTTTCCAGGAACCGGTGGATGCAGGGCATGATCCAGAGCCCCAGCGCGAGCACGTACGGCACCAGGTACAGCACGCACACCGCAAAGTACACGTTCGGACTGCCGGTCACGCCTATCCACCCCTGCACCGTTGACACTATCCCCGTCGCGTCCGTCACGGCCATGGAGTAGGAGATCGCAAGCACCACGAACCACCCCGCGAACCAGATCGCCTTGAGCAGCAGGCGGAGGGAGGATGTCCAGGGTTGTGTGCGGTACAGGCCGATGCTGAGGAACACGTCCGTTAGAGCTGCATGGGGAGTGAGGAGGCGGGAAGTAGGGAGGGAGCAGAAGGGAAGGGAGGGGAGAAAAAGGGAGGGGAGGAAAGGGCGGGGGGGGGAGGGGAAGGGAGAGGAAGGGAGGGGAAGGGAGGGGAAGGGAGAGGAAGGGAGGGGAAGGGAGAGGAAGGGAGAGGAAGGGAGGGGAAGGGAGGAAAAGGGAGGGGAATGGAAGGGAAGGGAGGGGAATGGAAGGGAAGGGAGGGGAGGATGAAGAAGTGCAAGATAATTTTGGAGGCAAAGCATCAGCACTGAGAAGGGTGCAACTCAAGAATCGAAAACCTTGGAGTGAGATTACTCTGGAAAGGCAGAAAAGCTCACATTTGAGGAAGTAGATGCCTGCGAGCGTGATGAAGATGCTGGTGACCTTGCGGAACTTGTCAATGCTCGTGAACGTGCTGTACCAGGGGGGGTTCCACGCCATAATGATCATCGCCTGCTCACACAGGGAGAGGGGGCAGAGGTGACGATTGAGGGGCGAATGTAGGGCGAATGAAAACGTGCGATAACATGCAGATATATCGTGTAATCCTGTCCTCGTGTGTGCGTGTGAGTGCGCGCGCGCACACACATGGGATCGTGAGCTTGAGTGTGTGCTTGGATAGAGAGCGTGGACAGAGAGTGCAGGAACCCAAGTACAGGAAGAGTGGGGGAAGACAGGGACTGCGACACAGCAAGGGGGTCGTACACGCCACTGGGATTGAGACTCGCAGGAGATACCTGAAGACAAATGAACTCACCTGAAGGCAGCAGATGAAGAAGGCCCACATGCGATCAAAGTCTCGGAACAGGTGCAGGCAAGTGCGGTGCTCCACAAACCCCTCCTTCCCCATGCGCTCGCTCCCTGGCAGTGGGCAGCAGTTCACAGCTCCCTGGGAAGAGAAACCACCAAGGGAAAAAGCAAGACAACAGAGAGGACCAGAGTTAGAAAGAACTAATCAATTTATAATCAGCGGACGAACTGGCAACCTGCCAAAAGACACGCAGGAGAAGCAACATCAACTTGACAACCAGAAGTGAGTTTCTACCGAAGTTCCGCGTGAACGTGCACCAACGTATGCATCTCCTTACAGCGTACCTTGAAGCTTCCCGCATGCAGGTTGGGTGCTGGCCCCGCAAAGAAGGGCGAGCTGGCGTTCCACGGCCATCCCAGCTCGAAGCAGTTCTTGGACCAGAAAAACTCGTTCAGGTCATCGTAATTCCGCCATGACGAGTGCGCCGCGCCTCCCACGGCCGCCTGGGCCTCCTTCGACGCCACGTCATACACAGGCGTGACGACGTAGCGGAGAAATCCCTCCGCCTCGCGTCCGTACGCGGGCAGGCGTTGCTTGGCCTCAGGGCCCTTGCCTCGCAGCACTGCTAGCAGCTCCGCTGCCATCTGCGGTGCATTGGTGGCGCAAGGGGATGGGAACAGTGACGGGGAGAGGGCCGAGGATACGTTTTGAGAGGACATGAAGGAGGAAGGGAGTGCGGAATGAAGCATGAGTGCGGAGCAATGCTCAGGTTACTAGGCATCGTGCACGTATTAGCCATGGGACTAACGTGATGGGGACTTGCAACGGATTGCTATGATGGAGTGCTGCCATGCACTGCTTCCATGAAATGCGTGTATGACGTACGTTATGGTAGATATAGCAGAGGCATTCGGGCATGAAGCGTAGGTTAGCTGCTTCGCCCCACACGAGCAGGAACAGCGCCGTGAACAGCACCTTCCTCTGCTGCTGCTGGATGGGGGTCAGCCCAGGATCCATGCTGCATGCCACAAAAAGGCAAGAAAATGGTAGAAAAAAAGTAATAATGAAGAATGATCCCGTTGTGCCACTGTTGTACTGCGACGCACTGGAAACTCTGACAAGCACAGGATTACAGCAAGCATGAACGTGCTCTAGCCCAAGCCACCCCGGTGCCGTGCCACTACTAGCTTACATGACGTTGCTCTTGCACTTGATGTAGCGGCACCAGCTGCGGTAGTTCTTGATCAACCCCTCCAGTACCTTCTCCACTGCTCGGTTGTCCAACTGCACGGCGGACACAGCACAGACAGGGAGCACGAGCACACCGCACGCACGCACACACGCACACAGCAGGCACATACCGCACACCCGTAGACATCAATATGAATGGACGGAAGCATTGTAAGGCATTCTGAGGAGGATCCGAGCGTGCAACCCAAATTCCTTCCCTCATGGCATACCCAAATCCATACTCAACGCCAACATCCTGTAGTTTCGACTTTATGCTTGAACTGTCTGTGACTCGCACGTGTACGTGACTCGTGTGATCTTCCCGGTTCTTATCGTACCTCCTCGAGAGGTTCAGGCCGGGGGCTCTTTAGGCTGATATGCGCGTTCGCCAGCAGCAGCACCAAATGCTCACGCTGATTGCGAACGTTGTCTTTCTGCAGGGAGGAAGCGGTGTCATGCACGCGCACACACATACCCGCATGCGCACATATGCACACGTTCACAATCGCACACACACGCACAGAGAAAAACGGCGGAAGAAAAGACACTCAGACGCACATATCGTGTGGAAAAAAACTTCTTCAGTATTACGATGCGCAGGGCAATAGAATAGCGAGAAAGGTGTTTCCTGTCACCTGGAAAGCAAAGACGAATCGCAGCCAATCAAGCGAGTCGAACTGCTTCAGCTTCTGCCCCGGCGGCACCTCCCACAGAATGGGAAGCCCGCTCACGTTCGTCACTCCCCCCATAGCCGCCACCACCTGTCATCACAATGAGAAGATACAAGAAGAATGAAGTCATGAATTCCAGAGAATCAAGACGGCTAGTTACCCTCTAGCAAAGACGGCTTTCGGCTTCCAACGCCTCCTCCCGTACTAGTCACGTAGCTCCTTTCAAGTCACACGGTCTACTTGGATCCATTGCGATATAAATGACTGACTGGTGAGCGTCTAGACGGCGGCGACTCACCTCCGGTAGCTGCATGATGGGCTGCTTGGCACTGGAGGGGTCCAGAGGCAGAATGTTGAACGCCACGTACTCCGCTTTGCGCTCCACCACTCGCTGACCCGCCTCCATAACCTGCAGATTTAACAATGGTTCCACCAGCGATTAGCTACGCGTTTGGACGTCTAATGAGACGCAACGGCGGGATTGCTGAATAATCACGATGCTTTGCTATTATTCACGATGGAAAACGGGTAATCGTCCACTGCAGTCACGTTCTTCACTGAAATCACGACGTGCGTCGTACCTCCGGCGCGAGCTCCGACTTCTCGGTCTGGTTGATGGCGCAGAGAACCTCGAACAGCACGCCTGCAGTCTGGTACGCGCGAGCGAGCTCCGCTCTGTCATGGACAAAAATGAGACTGCGTCAGCGTCCGTTTTGAGCGATTCTTAAGACAACCTGAGGAACCGAGTAAGGGAGCATGAAAGCTGGTGCGTGAGAACTGATTTACCGGTCGACATTCTCTGCGTCATCCATGGCCTTGACATAGTTCTGATAGTACTGCTGGTAAAAGGACGCGATTTCTCGAGCATCGCTGCTGCGTTGTCGCTTCTCCAGGGTTATCGGGTTGTCCTGTGACAACAGCAAGAGACGGCAAGGAACACATTCATAAGAGAAGGATGTGCGAATACGATTCAGTGCGAAGACGATTCAGCGCGAAAAGGTGAAAGAAGACTTCAAATTGGACCTAAAGTATCATTGACAGCTAGCGACCCACGCGAGGTCGGTTGGTGACAATGCCATTGAGTGTCGTGAAAGTCGTACCCTCTCTAGCCGCTCGAGCAGCGCTGTCTTAAACTGGCGAACCCCGCGTCCCTTGCACGTGGGATCCAGGCGATGAGCCTTTTCGAAAGCGGAGAACCGACCTGCGCAAACCGGTCACACAGAGATGCGTCAGGATATCAGCTACTTTTTCCGAGCCAAATGAAGCCATTCTTAGATGGACATTGCATTAAAACAGTACTAGTTGTCACAATACGAAATAAAAATCGACGGTATCAAATGCCTAATAGCAAACCTGAAACGAAGAATACGAACTTCTAAAAAATGCTATGATCTGTAAGAGTTTCAGAGGGAAAGTAGGCTCACATAGGTAAGCAACTCGAGGCCGTTGGGATTCTATCTCATTAGCAGCCCTGAGGTAAGGCTCGATCTCTGACAACGTTGGCGGAACCATCTCAAACGCCTGAAACTCCCGGGTCCCGCTACTAGGTAATCTCGTCATCTGTCTCCGTGCCATCGTGGCTGGACCTGAACTCGGACCAGCGATAATATGCTCTTAGGACGACTCAGTTAGTATGCAACCATCAGCCATGGGTTCGTAGACACAGCGAACTAATTACGTCCAACGAAGCGTTGGACCTGGCTCGAACCACGCGCTGAATCCTAGGGATGATAGTGTGAACGGAACGACGGAATGGAGCGAAGAGGTTTCGCAGGCGAAAAGGCGTGGCTGGATTCGTTTTGCTTATGAAATGACGGAGTAACGAGGCGGTGCTCTCAGCCGCTAGGGCCTTGGGGAAATCCCTCGAGACTGCTGCTCGCTGTGGGGTGCAGGAACGAGGTGCCTGGTGAATGGTTGATTGCCGCCTTGTGATGCTGCTTGTGTTCCTCCTGCTGCAGCTGGTGCTGGTGGGGCTGAGCGGTTTGGGTAGCCAGGCAAGCCTTGGAAATGTCGAATGTCTCTGTCTGCTCGCTGATGCTGCCTAATGGATGTCTCCAGTCGCTCAGCTATGATTGGCTTATGTTACCGTAGCGAATTGAAATTGGCGGTAAATATTTGGAGCCGAGTCGCCTATGTGACCCTGAGGAATCGAGGGAGCACTGGGACTTCAGTCCCAGAGACTTGGTCCCACTGAACTGAATTGGATGGTAGACGGAAGAGATTGCCGACTGGATTTTTATCCGTCTCGCAGTCCTGACGGTCGCACGCGGTTTGTGACGTGCTCAACTGGATTTCTCTGCCCATCTTGGGGGTCCTTGATGCCTGAATGCACAAGGCACCATCTGACGGCTCTAGGAATTGCCGATTCGACAACTCTCGGCGGCGCCTCTGAAGAAAAACTCAGCTGGTCTGATGGAAAAGGGATTGTCAGAGTGTGATAAGACGCTTTCGATAGTGTTCGCAAACACCAAATGGAAGGTGATACGGTATGAAGGTGGAACTTGCAAGTGCCCTCCTAAACAATTACCAATCGATAGATGTGCAAGGCACGGCAATACTGAGAACTTTTACCCCATCACTTCAGCAAATTCTAAATTGGAGTAGCCTCTCTGCAATAGCAATTCTAGAAGATATGGGGACGACCCACATTGATGAGTTTCATTGTACAGGGTCAATTAAAAGAATTGGAATTTGTTGCAGGGAAAAAAGCATTTAGCGTCCTGCAGGAACTCCATTAATTTGAGTCTGGCAAGTTGCCACTAGGAGTTTTTTTGCCTGGATGAGTCACGCTCTGTTCTACTAGGTAAAAGTACATGGGCGAATGTTACGCCAGAAAAGAGAACACACAAGTAAGTCGCATTGATAGCAATGGCAGTGAGTGGTGGTTGGGATAATGTATCCATGGTGATGTTGACAAGCCCGGTCCCTACATTCGCCTGTGAAACAGAATGAATGTCAGGAGAAAGACATAGGGAGAGGTCATCCTTCCAAGCAGAAGAATTTTGGCCAAAACAGTGTTCACCCACCCCTGGTACACACAAGGATAGCCAGCGAGCATCACACTAGGTAATGAGCAAGAAAATCAGCACGTGCCCCAGTGCTCCAGTGCAATGCCCCAATGCCCCAATGCTCCAATGCCCGAATGCCCCAATGCCCCAATGCCCCAATGCTCCAATGCCCCAATGCCCCAATGCCCCAATGCTCCAATGCTCCAATGCCCCAATGCCCCAATGCCCCGACGCCCCAATGCTCCAATGCCCCAATGCCCCGATGCCCCGATGCCCCAATGCTCTGATGCCTTATGCACTGGTGCTCCTATGCGTGAAAGCCTGATGATGCACCATGTGTACCATGGGGACCGTGGGGAGCATGAAGCCATCAGTGGTACCCCAAGTTCTCCAAAGCTCAAGTGCCCCAAAGCCCTGACGGTGCACCATGCGTACCATTAGGAAGGTGGGGAGCATGAAGCGAGCAATGGCTCGGAAGACAAGCGAGGGAGAGCGACAGGTGAGCTCCCCGATGAGAATAGCCTGGGAGAGAGACAAGAGGGTGGGGGGAGAGGAGGAGGGTAGTGGAGAGGGAGAGGACCAAGGGTTGCAGGGGACAGGGGGGAAGGAGAGGATAAGGGGAAAGAGAGGAGGGGGAAGCAGGGAATGCGTGGGAAACGTGGAAGGAAGAGATGTGCAAGATTATGGCTTGAAAGCACGGTGCAGCTATGTTAAGACATGCAAGAAAGTGGACGTGTGAGGCATGTGAGTGCATTCCATGTGAGAATAAGACATGCACAAGCAACGTGTAATGTAACAAGCCAGTTTGGTGAGCACCACCAGCTTTGCGAGATGAGATGGGGAAAGCGGGGTGGGTGGATGGAAGGAGATGCAGGCAGGCAGCAAGATGTGAGAGTGAAAGGTAAAGGAGAAGGTTGGCTTACATGAACGCCTTGAGCCAGGCTCCAGCAGACGAATGCGAGATTGCACTGCCATGTAGAATCATGCAACAAGCCACACCATCCCATCCCATCCATCCACCCGTCCATCCGTTTGTCCGTCCGTCCATCCATCCACCCGCCCAACCCATCAGAAAACAAGGGCGTGGCAGAAAGAGGGATGGTGATTGTGGCAGGGAGAGTGGGACGTGAACTCCTGAAGGGGCAGAAAACGCTGAATGGACGAACAGCACAAAACACAGGTAAACAAAGGGAAAGAAAGAAAAGAAAAAGAAAAGAAATGAACACCTGACGCCAAGAAGTAGGAGGAACAGAGCAGGTTTTCAAGGGAATTGGACAGAGCTGAAGAACCTGGGAAGGGAGTGGGAGAGGCAAGAGAAACTCACGGAGCGTCGGGAGGTTTGCTCGATGTATTGATGCGCTACTAAGGTTACCAGCCTGTGGTGTGGCACGGGCAGCAGGCAACAAAGGGGGGTGGGGAGGGAAGAGGTTGGAGTAGTGACGGCAGGAGGAATGAAGATGGCAGAAGGAGTGAGAGTGGGAGTGACGGCAGGAGGAGTGAGGCAATGGGAGTGAATCAAACCTGATGCTTCACACAAACAAAATCACCTTCAAGTTCATGCGATGCCTTTCCAAATAGAATAACGAAAATAGGAGGAGACGTGGAGCATGAGCAGCAGGTTGCGTGTGTGTGTGCGTACCAGAGGAAGAGGTCAAGGGGCAGCAGCTGATTGACGATGGCGAAGAGAGGACCGTGCGCTGAGCGAATTGCAGCTGATGGCGCAGGGTGGGATGAACATGGGAGGGAGGGAGGAAGATAAGAGGGGAGGGAGGGAGGGAGATAGGAGGGGAGGGAGGGAGGGAGGTAGGTAGGGAGGGAGGGAGGAGGAGGGAGGGAGGGAGGGAGGGAGGGAGGGAGGGAGGGAGGGAGGGAGGGAGGGAGGGAGGGAGGGAGGGAGGGAGGGAGGGAGGGAGGGAGGGAGGGAGGGAGGGAGGGAGGGAGAGAGGGAGGGAGGGAGGGAGGGAGGGAGGGAGGGAAGGGAGGGAGGGAGGGAAGGGAGGGAGGGAGGGAGGGAGGGAGGGAGGGAGGGAGGGAGGGAGGGAGGGAGGGAGGGAGGGAGGGAGGGAGGGAGGGAGGGAGGGAGGGAGGGAGGGAGGGAGGGAGGGAGGGAGGGAGGGAGGGAGGGAGGGAGGGAGGGAGAGAGGGAGGGAGGGAGGGAGGGAGGGAGGGCGGGAGGGAGGGCGGGAGGGAGGGAGAGAGGGAGGGAGGGAGGGAGGGAGGGAGGGAGGGAGGGAGGGAGGGAGGGAGGGGGGGAGGGAGGGAGGGAGGGAGGGAGGGAGGGAGGGAGAGAGGGAGGGAGGGAGGGAGGGAGGGCGGGAATTGAGTGATGCTGGACTTGCAAGTGGCGCACAGGAGGTACCCAGCTGGAAAAAGGGTGGTAGTTGGGGTTGAAGGATGGCGGTTTGGGCGACAGGGTGGAGGTTGGGGAAATGTACACAAGTTGCAGCAGGAGCAGAGAAGGGCAGAAGGAGTTCCTTACAGTAGGAGGAGTTGAGGAAGGTGCCAAAGTGAAGAGAGATGAGGTAGAGACTCAGGTAGCCTGGGGCACACACGGGGGGTGGGCAGGGCACAGACAGATGATAAGTGGGGACGCGCATATAGAGGCGCAAATGGGAGATGAGGAAAGCATATCAAAGATGAAAATTAGACTCAAGGTACCCAGCCAGTTAGTGAACAGAGGTATTTCTGAGGCGCCTTGAAGGGAGATGAGGGAAGCACAGTACGGGTGCAGTGCAAGGCAATGCAGGGTATACAGGCAGTGGATAAAAACGTGTGCCACGTGTGGAAGGTTGTAGCTACAGATGTGCACTTCTACCATACGCAATGAAACATACGCCCCTCTCTCACCTACTGTGCTACAGCCACCTCTCTCTCACCTACTGTGCTACAAATGCCCTCCTTGTTGAGCGAGATCAGGGACGTGGCTTCCCTGTCATCTGACAACACCCACTCGCTGCCTCCCATGCACGACAGCCATGCCTGGTACCCTGCACCCAGCAGCAGCAAGCAGCAGGAAAAAAACAAAAGAAAAGAGTTGGAAAGCAGTGGGAGTAGCACCAGCATGGGTGGGTGATGCCCTTCTGCTGCTGCTACAGATGCCCTGACTGTCATGACATGGCATACAAAGCCCTCGTCGAATGGCACACAGCAGCAGCGGCAGCAGCAGCTACACCAGCAGCAAGAGCAGCCGCAGCAGCAGCGGCAGCAGCAGCAGCAGCCGCCTTCCGCCGCCGCGCCAGCTGCCACAACAGCAGGAGCTGCAAGAGCACTGACCAATCAGAAGCAGCACGGGCGGAGTGAGGCTACGGAAGAAACCCGGGGGCAGTTGCGAGGGGTGGTGGCGGATGGGCGTGGGGAAGAGGCGAGCGAGGGAGAGCACGGCAGCGAGGGTGAAGAAGAAGTTCCAGTGCACGCCGTACTCGCTGCTGTGCTCCTGATGATGGGAGGAGGGAGTATGTGCGGTGAGGGAGGGGTTGGGGGTGGGGAGAGTTGGGTGTGAGTGCACATATGACAGGAGAGAAGGAGAGGGCCGTTTGAGAGAGAGCACAGCAGCAAGGGTGAAGAAGAAGCAGTTCCAGTGCACGCCGTACTCGCTGCTGTGCTCCTGATGATGGGGAGGGGGTGTGTGGTGATTGGGTGCGGAGCGTGTGCTTTTGAGTGCATGCGCATGAGCAGGAGGAAAAGGAGGGGTCGCTGGGAGAGCACAGCAGCGAGGGTGAAGAAGAAGTTCCAGTGCACGCAGTACTCGCTGCTGTGCTCCTGAGGACAATTTCGGGGCGTGTGCGTATTTGGGTGTGCATGTATGAACGGGAGAGGGAAGTGCTTAGGGAGAGCATAGCAGGGTGCAAGAGGCAAGCAGTAAGACAGTACTTTGTCGTTCTGAGTCAACAGCATTTGGTAACAGCAAGAGCACCAGGTAGCAGCAGCAGCACCTGGTAGCAGCAGCAGCACCAGGTAGCAGCAACTGCACCTGGTGACATTTTTTGAGACGTCTGAGAAAAAACAGCGACAGCAGCACCTGGTAGTTGGTGACTTTGGTCAGCAGCAGCCGTCCAATGGCAAGCACTAGCAGAGGCAGCAGCTTGCGGGAGAATCGTTGGCTGAGGGGGTTGTGTTGGGCAGAGGTGCAGGAGGAAGGTACATTGAAGGGGTGGGAAGCAGGGGCGGGCAAACAACGCAGGTGGGAGAGACCATTGGGATTATGGCAGCAATAGATTGGATGGACAATGGTTCAGAAAGGACACAGAGATGAGTGGCGGCGGCTGCTGCGCCGGAAATGGCGGCGGCGGCAGCAGCAGCAGCAGCAACGTATGCAAGACTGAATGAGCTTGAGACCAGAAACATCAATATGGTTGGGGGGGATGATAGCACCGAATCGGTTAGAATACTTCGTAAGGTGTGTGTAACACGTACGCACTCTCATGGATTTATGAAACTCACATGTCTCATCTCATGCATGCATGCACTTACATGGATACATGTGTCTTTCTTGCTCCGGCTGTCCTGATCCTGGATGATCCGAATTGAGAGGCTGTGTTGGCGATGACAAACATGCCCACTCCTAGATCCATCTGCAGAGTGAGGGAGAGAGGAGGAAGAGAGAGGAAGGAGAGACGAGGGACGCGGAAGTAAGGGGGGGGAGTGGTGAATTGAGAGGCCGTGTAGGCGATGACAAGCATGCCCACTCCTAGATCCATCTGCAGAGTGAGGGAGAGAGAGAAGAGATGGATGGATGGACGGACGGACAGATGGATGGATGGATGGATGGATGGACAGATACATGTATACATGCACGCATGGACACATGGATCAACTGACCAGGGAGGTGCCGTATCGCTCAGTCTTGGCATAATTGCGAGGGAAGATGTCAAAGTCGACAGCTAGAATGGCCGTGCACGTCAGCAGCATCTGGTGGGCAGTGCGGCAGGGGTGGAAGGGGAGGGAGAGGATTCTTTAGTCAACACAGAAAACGTGGGAAGACGTCAGAGTCCCCAGCCTGAATGGTCCTGCACGTGAGGAGGATGTGGTGACGGGAAAGAGTGGGTGATGGGGACGGGGGGGTAGGGGAGAGAGGGAAGAGGAGTGGTATGGGGGGAGATGGAAGAGGGGTTAGAAGAAGGGTGGTGTGGTTAAGAGGGAATCGGGGTGGTATAGGAGAGAGGGAAGGGTGGTGTGGTGAGAGGGAAGAGGGGTGGTAGGGGGGAGGGATAAAAAGGGGTGGTGTGGGGAGAGGGAAGAGAGGTGGTAGACTAGGAGAGAGAGAGAAGAGGGGTGGTAGAGTAGGGGAGAGAGGGAAGAGGGGTGGTAGAGTAGGGGAGAGAGGGAAGAGGGGTGGTAGAGTAGGGGAGAGAGGGAAGAGGGGTGGTAGAGTAGGGGAGAGAGGGAAGAGGGGTGGTAGAGTAGGGGAGAGAGGGAAGAGGGGTGGTAGAGTAGGGGAGAGAGGGAAGAGGGGTGGTAGGGGGAAGAGGAAGATGGGCTGTCAGAGGAGAGAGGGTGGTCGGGAAAGGCAGGATTAGATCATTAGAGAAACAACCGTGCATGCGGTGTAGAAGCATGCATGCTACAAGGTGCACTGATGAGACAGGCAGCACATATGTGCTGTGTGGGACGAGGCGGGGGGGGGGGGGGGGCGGGGGGATGGGAAGGAGGTGGGGTTTACGGGAGGGTGGGGGGGGGTTGGGGAATGGGGGAACAAGAGGAAAAATCCGGAGGGGGGCGGCGTGGGTTGGGGAAGGGGGAGGGGGGAGAGAGGGGAAGAGAAGTGTGTCTCACCAGGAGTGCTCTGAAGGTGATGACCGAATCGGTGACGGATGGTGGGGAGAGGGGCCACGAGGAGCTGTTCAGCAGGTAAGGACTGCACGCGCATATCGGAGCAAGATAGAGGGGCATTTACACGGGAGGAATCCGAGGATGCGTGTGTAAGTTGATTTTCTAGTCGACATGGAGTACGTGAGCGTGATTGGTTGAGTCAGGCATGGAATATACGAATCAACAAAACTCAATTTTAAGAATGCTCAAAAGTGGCACACATGGTTTTCATGACGTCTGGGAAGAAGACAGATGGAAAGGGAGTAGCCAGGGAGTGAAAGGCGACAGCAGGGGAGAAAGAATTCGCACCCTGAGGTATTAAGGGTGGCCAAAGTTGCTGTTGTCGTAAGAATAGCTGCGAGAAGAATGAATGTGATTGTGAGGTGATCCTTCAAGACCTGTGAGTCAGCGAGCAGGTACAACCAAAAAGACAGACGGACGTAAGAGGTGGGAGCGAGAGGGGTATAACGAGAGTTCAATGGAAGGGCATGGATCATCAGCAGTGGAGAAGAAGCAGAGGAAGAATTATGGGGCAACAGACGTATCAAGGCGTGTTATGTGATTGCAAAAAGAGCATGTGCTATAGGAGAAGGGGTAGGGGGGGTGGTGTTTTGGGGGGGGGGGTTGAAGGGACAGGAGGAGTGAGGTGGTTAAAAGGAGCGGTGGTACCGTGAGGGTGAGGAGGGAGGGAATGATAACGAGGAGAGCATCTGCTGTCACTGACGCAGCAAGTTGCAACCCTGGTGTGGGGAGCTGCAGAGGCAGGGGGGTACGCAGAGAAGGGAAAGAGGTAGAGATGGAGGAGAGATGAAGTGGGGATGGAGTAGGGATGGGGGAGAGATGGGGAAGCGGGTATTAAGAGGGAAAACAGTTAGAGAAAGTGAAGGAAGAAGGGGCAGCATGCACGGACACCAAATGAGGGTGCTGTTTGTCCACCTATATTGTGCGCTTCTGTGTCCCCCTAACCTGTGCGCCTACATGTGTGCCCCACCGCACCTCTGGAGGTCTTATGCAGGGTGGCAGGAACGGCAGAAGCTGGCGCTGCGCGGAGAGCATCTGGGAGCGGGGAGACATAAGCGCACAAGAGGTGGGGGGCACACGGCGAACACAAGAGGAGTCTAAGGGTCATGAGGCGGCACGAGATGGGGAACGGGAGGAGCTAAGTGTAGGGAATTAAGGGGAATCTTGAAGCGTTTCATCACTCAAAGTGTAGGAAATTTGAGAAGCGGAGAAGGAAAACAGGGTGATGATGCACCGGTCTCAAATGATCAAACAATTTTTTATTAACCAATGGTATCGGATCAATTCAACGGCCTGTGGAATAGTAAATGCGTGATAACTACAGCATGGCTTAAGCAGTGGCACTGCTTTTGGCACGAGATTGCAAGGAGATGTGGTGATGCAGCAATGTGGTGACGTAGCGATGCAGTGATGCAGAGGCGGTTGGGAGGGCATAGAAAATTAAAAAACGCTGCTGGTAACGAGGCACTCACGAAAACGATGGTAACCAGCGCAGACACGTGGAACATGGACGTCCCTGTGTGACCGCTCACGAACCTGCGCCTCCAGGAAACGCCAAAAGCACCGCATGGCACCACGAAGCACCGCACAGCACCCCAAATCGCCACTCAGGCATAGTATTACACACAGCAGTCATAGAGTGTTGGAACCCATTGGTCCAGCAAAGTCACGCATGTAAGACAGTGTCAATCACGCACGTACAGCACATCCAGGCCACACGCATGCACAAGCGCGCGCGCGCACACACACACACACACACCCACACACACACACACACACACACACACACACACACACACACACACACACACACACACACACACACACACACACGCATACGCACACATACAAAGGAACATGCACCCGAACGAAAGGGAGAGCCTTTTTTATACAGCGTAAAGGAAAAGCTAACCGTACAAGGCTAAGGCCTTGGAAGGAGTGTGGCAAGTGAGGCAGGGCTGTGTAGCTCAAAATTACAAGAAGAACTGTGCGAGTACGAGGGAAATAACCATGCTAAATACCTAAAAACGGAAACAGAAAAAGGCTACGAACATTTCACGTTGCTCCTTGATGTGGCCCGGAAGGAAGGTCATGGCTCGGGACAGGAGCGAGGCCATGACAGGAGCACTCTCGGATCGCGACGCCATGGCGGCAACGTGCAGCAGGTGTAAGGAGAAAACCTGTGCAGTGGAGATTGATACGGTAAAATGGTTTCAGACGCGGGTACGCGTTTCAGTGAGAAAGGTACGAGAGATGTACGGAGATGTACAATGGTGATGACATGCGATCTGAGAGATTCGGGAAGTAGTGACGAAACGCGCGAGATGTTAGCACGAGAGAACGTACGTGGCAACGGAATTTCGACGTCACTCCTCCCTCCTGTGTTGATCCAGAGAAGGCAGAATAATCCTCCGCGAACAATTCACCAGTCACAATTTCCTTCAAACAAGTGTCAAGCTCGAAACTACTACGATTGATGCGCTGCCATTCGGCTACTGCAGCTTCTAATGCCTCCGTAAAACCGGCTTGTGGGACAATGTCTCTTTCTGATTCTACGCAGAAATGTCAATACCTTGGTTCGACTTGACGAAAAAAGGCTTCAGAAGTTGAGCCTACACGAGCCTAGAGCCCAATAGACTAAGACCTACAAATGATAAGATACGGAGTGGAGACTCACACGACCTGCGTCAGCTGCGCAGGTCATGGCATCCCCACGCGCACTGCCTCTTCAAGGCTTTACTTAAGAATACTGGAGCTTTAAACGAGTCGTAATGAGTGCGACCGCCAGTAGAACCTCTCACGGGTACAGTCACCACTTGTCGAAGCCATGGCCGTTATACTCTACACTCGCTCCGGCATTTGGCCATGGGAGGCATTTAAAAACTCCCCTTTGCCAAGACCATACGTTATGAGAGCCCTGTAATCACACTTGACCAATACCAAAGGACGGCCAGCTCAGGCAACGCGCCCAGAAATTCGTTGAAACCAGTCGTCTGCTAAACTTCTCGGCGTAACTTAAAGTCACACAACTGTGAAGTACGAGCAAGCAGCTGTAGTTGCTGTGGAGGAATCTAGGAACGGGAGGGATGTGCTGTCGAACTTCAGTTGGCCACAAGCTATACTCGTCATTGGTTGTACCACGGTATTCTAGAATTCTAGAATCTAGGTGTCAAGCTAGTGGAGTATATAAGGAATTTTCCCGAATTCCTTATCAGGGTTGACTGCTTCGCGTACAACCCGATTTTCGGAGTTCGCACGTTTGGCCGATTTCAACGCTGCCGAGGCTCCTCGCGTCGCCTTCGGCATTTCCACCGCCAAACCTGCACCCAACCTCGCTAGTCTGAGGTTTCCTCCTAGCTAGGCTAGCCCTACATTAGTCTGTGCATTCATTGTATTCGCAGTTGATTCAGTCACAGTCTCGTTATTTGTTTACCTGCGCACTCTCTTTTACAACTCATAACACCTGGTATCAGAGCTACTTTCCTAGTTCACCTCGCTTTTCTGATCGTAGTTTGGTGGCATAGGGTGTGGCTGGTTTAGTGACTACACGACAGTTGGCTGCATGGATTGTTAATTCAATCCTGCCCGACTCTGATAGTTCGTGTTTTCACTTGCCTGAAGGCCACGGAGACCCGACTGCCCACCAGACGTAGCGCTAGGCACATGGATCAGGAGGCGGTTAACAGGATGATGGCGCAAGTGGCAGAAATGTAGGAGAGCATGAAGGCATTCATGGCGGAAGTGACAACACTGCGAGAGGAAAACGCCAAGCTACGCCAGACACGAGGTGAAGCGCGTCAGGAGTCGCCTGTGGACGAAGGCGAGGGCAACAGTCAGGCGATGAGCAATCCGCTGGATGTGCTCACACGTGACTTAAAAAAGGAGGACAGGCAGCAAGCGGCAGCAGCGCCAATTGCAATAGCGACGATTAAGATCAAGCCCGTTAACCCGCCCCCGTTTAATCATACGGACAAGACGGTTACGGTCAAAGGGTGGCTGTACGGGGTCGAGGTCTTTTTTACTACAGCCGGAGTTAATGACGACACCACACGTATTAATTACGCGGTTTCGCTTCTTCGAGGTGCAGCGCTTGAGTGGTGGCGCCGAACCTTGGAAACAGGGACGCCGACAGGTGTGACGCATGCGGCAGACGGGACCTCAACAGTGACTAATCAAGTGGCACAATCAATCTTCGGAGTGGCCACGATACGCACGTGGAAGGAGTGGGGCGCAGCCTTACGAGATCGCTTCGAGCACGTATCCGCCTCGGAGCAAGTTCGCATGAAGCTGCGTGCATGGTCGCAGATGGCATCTGTCCAAGACTACACGGCGTCATTTATGGGCCTCGCCGACCAAGTTGATGATATGTCGGAAACTGAGAGGTTAGATAAGTACATCAACGGCCTCAAATACGAGATACAGTACGAGGTTCGCAGGGGCCGCCCGACGTCATTTCTTGTAGCAGTACGGCTGGTGGAGTCTACAGATGCGCTGATGCAGTACGCGAGAGCAGCTTCCCGGGAGGGAAACCGCTTTCGTGGCCAGACCCATCGGGCCACGATCAACGCCGTCCATACACCCGACCGCCCTCCTAAGGGACCGTGTTATCGGTGTGGGAAGACGGGTCACTAGATGAGAGACTGCCACGAGAAAACGCCGTTGACGGGGAACGACAGGAAGGAGCAGGGAAATAGGAAGAGTCAGTAATTAGCGGGCCCTTTACTGACTGTGCTCCATCGCCCGAACCCCACCATCCCCACCGAGACGTGGTTCCGATTCATGCGATCGATCGCACTCGGCCGAATAACGGGGATACACATGTGGATCACCCTGTGCTGGTCGCTGGCAAGGTGTTAAAAAATAACTTAAAAATGTTCGTCGATGGAGGGGCCAGTCATAGCCTCTTCAACTTGGCGAGCGCAAAAAAATGCAAGCTGCAACTTGACAGGTGTCTGCCCGAAATTGACACTCGCCTCGTGGATGGGACGCCTCTGGCGATAACGGAAGAAACACGGACGGTCAGGATCGAATGCGGCGACGATTTCGGCTTCAGCATGAAGTTTCTCGCGACAACATTGGATGGCTGCGACGTGATGCTGGGACGTGATTGGCTGCGACGGCAGAATCCCGTCATCGGCTGGACAACGGGATCCTGCAGCATCAACAAGCACGAGGGGCTAAATAAACTCCCTGCATGGACGCATGACCACATCCAAGCCCCGTGCGTCAAAGTTATCACTATAGCTCGCCACTTCAACAGAGGCGCGCAACTGTTCGCTGTTTGCTTACGAGAGTTGGCGGTTGACACCAACGGAAAGGACATCGAGAAGCTGTGTGCAGTTGTACCACCGGATTTAGCGGAGCTGATTCGGAGGTACCCGGACATTTTCCCCGACGACCTGCCACCTGGACTGCCACCCGAGAGACCTGAGGACCACGAAATCCAGCTGGAACCTAGCGCTTAGCTGACTGTTCGGACACAGTGGCGGTTGACCCAGCCGAAACTCGAGGAGTTGCGAAGTCAAATTGACCCACTGTTGGAGAAAGGGTTCATTCGGGCCAGCACATCTCCCTTCGTAGCACCGATCTTGTTTACCCCGAAGAAGGACGGCGGGCTTCGCATGTGTATCGACTATCGCGCGCTAAGCCGGGTCACCATCAAGTCTTGCTACCCAATCCCACGCACCGACGACCTCCTCGACCAACTTCGCGGCGCTCGATATTTCTCGAGGATTGACTTACGTGGCGGTTACCACCAGATTCGAGTCTTCGCCGACGATTGTCACAAGAGTACGTTTCGCACACGCTACGGGAGTTACGAATTTACAGTGATGCCTTTCGGCCTCACGAACGCGCCTTCGACTTCTCAACAGACCATGAACAGAGTTTTGTGAAAGGAATAAACAGGAATGAATTGACTAAGTCAGAGTTGGGTACAAATACAACCCTAGCAAACTGTACCCCATATGTGCTACCCCACTATAGCCTACAAACATGCATCAGCTATAATAATCTGACACACCCCCATAGGCAAAGTGGGGGAGAACAAGGGGTCACAAGACCAGTCAAGCAAAGCAAAGCAAGCTCAGGGTGGATCACAAAGTCACCACACAGTCCGAGCACAAGAGCAAGGCCAGAGGCCAGTTCACATGCAGGAGTACAGACATATATATAAAACTAGACAAGCAAGAGCAGGTATATATATGTCAAAGTACAAGTAAAGTCAAGAAGAGAGCAAGTGAGGCAAGACAGGTACAAGACCCAGCTGGGTACAAAAGCGCTGATGGTCGCAAGGCGCAAGTGCCTTGGTGAACACATCAGCAGTGTTGGCCTCAGAGGCCACGTAAGCAAGTCGCAACTGACCACGCTGCTGCAGCTCACGAGCAAGGAAGTAGCGGAGAGCAATGTGCTTCGTTCTGTGCTCCAAGCGCTGCTCTCGACACAAGGCCAACATGGCCTTGTTGTCTACGTAGAGCACTGGAGGAGAACGAGGCAGCTCTCCAAGGTCAGTCAGCAGGTAGGTGAGCCAGCGAAGCTCCTGTGCAGCCATGGCCCCGGCGTAGATCTCAGCCTCACAACTGGAGCCGAGAACCGAAGACGAGCGAGTAGACCGCCACGAGACAGAGCCGGAACCAAGGCTGAAGGTGTAACCCTGTGACGACCGCTGCGTAGCCTGGTCGTCAGCCCAAGAAGCGTCTGCGTGCCCAGTGAGGACCACTGGACTGCGCCCTCCAAGCACTAGCCCCATGCCCGACGTACTGCACAAGTAGCGCAACACCCTCTTCGCTGCAGCCATGTGCTCTGGTCGGTGTCTCCCAGGAGCAACAAAGCGTGCGAGAATGCTAAGAGGGTATGCGAGGTCAGGTCGTGTGCAGGTCATCAGGTACATGAGGCAGCCAACAAGCTCTGCAAACGGGCCACTCGACTCTACGGACTCATCCGAAGGCAGAGCTGAGAGCGAGTGGTGAGTAGGCAGAGGAGTGGCCTGAGGCGAGGAGTACGTGAAGTCGAAGCGCTGAAGGACCTGCTGCACCATGTGTGACTGAGTCAGGGTAATGGTGCGGCGTGCTCTGTCCCGAGTGATCTGCAAGCC